AGCACTTCACGAGACCTTTCAAGCTGTCTAAATGAAGTGCTTCATAGTGCACATTACTAATAGTTAATTCAAGTTCATTTGTATAGCACTGTTCACTATAATTATTGTATTTAAGCAGCTTTACTAATGGTGCACAATGTGTATATAGGCAGGCATTATATATAAACATAGTTAACCTGCAGTTATACAGTTCCAGTGTTCTTCTAAAAGCGAAGCGGGCTACAATTTTAGGCTTTAAAATGCAATTAAATGAAATGTTGTGTTGTAGGTCTTAAATCATTTTACGTTTAAACTTTATTTTCCTCAGTCCACAACCAATCAAATGCTCTCTTGTGTCTGACAAGCCCCGCCCTCTTCAAGACACTTCTCATTGGCTGTTCATTTGATGAGCTTGAGCTCGAACACTCTTACTGGCAGAGTGGTGATCAAACAAAACTCTATTGGCTGTTTTCTTAAAAGGGGAGGGGCTACATTATGTTTTGGTTAGGATTATGTCAGACATTGAATAAATATGCCCATTTCAAAGCACTTCACGAGACCATTAAAGCTGTCTAAATGAAGTGCTTCACAAGTGCACATTTCTAATCAAACATCTAGCTTTTCAATAGGACATTCATGTTCAATTCAAGTTCATTTGTAAAGCGCTGTTCACTATAATTATTGTGTTTGAGCAGCTTTACTAATGGTGCACAGTATTGCATTACAATCCAAATCAGAAATGTGTATATAGGGGCAGGCATTATATATAAACATAGTTAACCTGCAGTTATATAGTTCTACTGTCCTTCTAAAAGCGAAGCGGGCTACAATTTTAGGCTTGAAATGCACTGAAATGTTGTGTTGTAGGTCTTAAATCATTTTAAGTTTAAACTTTGATTTCCCCAGTCCATGTAAAGCTTCCCAATCCGGCTACAATCACCAACAATCCAGCTCAATAACACCTTTATCTAGAGTTGAGTTCATTAACTCTGTTTACCAATATGGTTTATTAATAACCTTTGTTAAAGGCTGTGTTTTATAGCTGCCTGCACTGTAAACATGTCTGTAAATGAGCAGTTTTCTGTATTTTATGATTTCATTTTTTCATTTTTCCCCGGTTGTTTCTGCTTTTGATTTGCATTATGGGATCTTGATCTTTCTTTTAAGATGGATGAGTTGTGTAAAGTGTGTGTTCTGCATGTGTATTCGTGTGCAGTGCTGTATTGTGTGTGTTGGTGTTGTTTATTACACTACAGAAACCTTGTGATGAACTGCAGCACATTTACTGTCACTTTACACACTCATATCTCTAAATATCAATATTACTTGTACATTTTATTATCTCAAACTTCCAAAAATGTCAATTAAAGTCACTTTGTTGAGCTGTAGAGTTGCAGGTTCAACTTCAATAGTTGATCAGGCACTTTTCTGATGAACAGACTCACAGACTGCCTACACTGAAGGACAGCCACGCTACACACTGCTAACAAGATGTTTTTACAAAACCCACATGAGCTGCTCTTGAACACACTCTTCCTCAGCTGACCAGAGCATGTGCAGTGAACACACACACACACACACACACACACACACACACGTGTCTATATAAAGAGAGATCAGCTCAGACAGACAGACAGTGACGCAGCGGTTTGCTGGATCGGGAGTCAGAACAGGATAAGCCTGAAGATTTGTCTAAATGTTGATCTTACAGCAGGTGCTAAACAAACCGATAGAGAGTAGCTAATCAGCGGCTTTATTAACTCACTACCAGACCCATGTGCAGAACGTGACAGCCCTGACTCGTGGCAAACACATGCTGTATGTGCACTCGGTGAGATCAGGAGCATTCATCTGCAGCATTCATCCAGTCAAATTTAAGACCTCCTTAAGATCATCATGAATGAAGTTTCAGACGTACAGTTGAAGTCAGAATTATTCGCCCCCTTTCAATGTTTTTATTTTTTAAATATTTCCTAAATGATGTTGAACAGGTTGAGGAAATGTTCACAGTGTTTCTGATAATGTTTGTTCTTCTGTAGAAAGTCTTGTTTGTTTTATTTTGGCTAGAATAAAAGCAGTTTTCAATTTTCTAAACAATATTTTAAGGTCAATATTATTAGCCCCTTTAAGCTATCTATTTTTTCGATAGTCTCCAGAACAAACCATCGTTATACAATGACTTGCCTAATTACCCTAGTTAAGCCTTTAAATGTGACTTTAAGCTGTATAGAAGTGTCTTGAAGAATATCTAGTCTAATATTATTTACTGTCATCATGACAAAGAGAAAATAAATAAGTTATTAGAGATGAGTTATTAACACTATTATGTTATAAATAATACATAAACTTATATATTATTAATTATAATATTATTATAAAATTTATAATAATAAATGTTATAAATAATGTGTCAAAACAAAGTATCCAGGTGATGTCTAAGAATCCTGCCCATCAACTCATACACTATAAACTGATCCACAAGGCTTATGCAACTCCATATGTGCTTCACCGCATGAAACGGTTACCTACCCCTTTTTGTACACTGTGTAATTCAAACTCTGTGGGGACATATATGCATATGTTTTTTGAATGTCCACTTATCAGTACATTTTGGGATAAGGTATTTCAAACTATTTCAGAATTGTGTGAGATGTTCATTCCCAAATACCCTAATATCTGTTTATTGAATGATGATTATGATCTAAACCTAAACAATTCCCAACGCAGGATATTTCATACTGCACTAACTGCAGCTAAGAAAGTTATATTTAAAATATGGCATGAACCCTCATTTCCAGCGGATAAAATGTGGCTTATTGAACTAAAAAATATTGCACTGTTAGAACGTTCCACTGCAAGAATTAACAGAGCTAAACCCCATACAATCAAAGTATGGTCCGATTTTATTGAGAAAATTTCTTATATAATAACTAGTTAATTCTCAACCCAGAGTTTTTTCTTTATTTTTTTTCTGTGTATTGTTATTTATTTATTATGGTAATGTCTTTATTTTATTATTATTATTATTATTTGTAATTTCTTTATGTATTTTTATTTAATGCAAACCCTGGCTTGTATATAGTTGTTGCTAGCTATGTATGCTGGCTTTGTTCTGCAATAAATAAATAATCAAAAAAAAAAAAAAATGTGTCAAAACAAGCCAACTCTAGTTGTATACGTGCACATTTTCAACAGAAGTTTTCTTTTTTTAAATGAAGTAAATGCATGTAGACATGGGCCGGTATAAGATTCTGACAGTATAATAACCTTGGATATAAATATCAAGGTTTCATGGTATTGTGCTCACTGCTCTAAAATATATTCTTTTTAAATGTCTGAATATGAAAAAATCCCTTTTGAACACAGTGTGTTTTATTTTGAGGAACATTTCAAATAGTTTGGAGCAGTAAACATGTCAGGCTGAATAATTCTAATGAATTGTTGACTTCTGCTGTCTTCATTTATTTCATGTGTTTGGAACGGTATTGCAGAAAATGTTGACAGTTTTAAAACCTTGACTTATCCAAACCGCGGTATACCTTGAAAACGGTTATCATCCCATGCCTAAATGTATGCACAACAGTCTGTCCAGGTCAGTGTCCTCAGTACACTGTGAAAATATCCGTAAATGAACAGTTTGTGTGTTTACTTCAGTCATTCAAAATAGTATAATGTATAGGGAATGATATATCTAGAGCAATGAGTGTGTAAAATAACAGTAAATGTGCTGCAGTTTATTACAAGCTTTCTGTAGCGTAATAAACAACACCAACACACACAATACAGCACTGCACACTGTTACACATGTGCAGAACACACACTTCATACACACTTTACAAGGTTAAAAGTTGCTGGAAGAAAGATCGAGATCCCATAATACAATTCAAGATCATTATAAATTCAGAAAACTGCTCATTTATGGATGTTATTTACTGTGTGCATCAGCATTATTAAAGTAACTCATTTGCATAATTCCCGCCCATATTTGAACACTCTGAAATGGGCACTCTGACACAGACCAATCAAAACAGACTTGGCCCACATGACCAATCACAGCAGAGCTGGCTAATGGAAGGGGGAGGGGTTTTACAAATCTTAAGAACTGAATTGATTCAAATTAGAGATCTGCGCGTTTTAATCCCGCTCCTGCCAGGTTTTAGTCCGAACCAGACCGCTCCGGCTAATATTCAGTATTTGTTGTTTCGCTTCCCGACCAGCTCTTTTCTACCTGCTGCGCCCGTTCCCGCTAACTGTATACCAACCAGCTATGCAGAGTCCAGATAGCCTAAAACAAGCTGTCTGTATAAACACACACACACACACATAGACACGCAGCATCATGCTCTCTCTACTTCACACACATATATACGCATGCTCGCTCGCTCAGGAGTTATAGGCCGCTCCCGCGCTTTATTCTAAAATGTATTGGTCTGCACACTTCTAATTCAAATGAATCATTTACAAGTCGCTGAAAAAGATTCCCATATTAAATGCGTATTGTGAGAATTCTGCCTTTGGTGTCTTGAATATTTTACAGTCGTCATAGGGGACCGTTCATTGTTTAGTTGATGCCTAATAATGGGTTAAAATCGTAGTTGTTAATATTTTATTAAATGCTCTTAATAAGTGATAAACTTAAATCTAGTATTCAAATTCAGTATTTTTACTGACTAATTTTAGCGTAACTGTTATAAATCTGGCTTTTTCTCACAGTTTTAATGCATTCACTGACATTTACTAATAACACATAAATCTGCTGTACTTTATAATCCTTTTGCAAATTGATTTAAATCATGTTTAAACATGTGGATTTACAATGAAGCAGTACACAAAGTGTTTTTCTGTTATCTTACCTGTTACAATAACCCTTTCTAAGGTCAATATTGTGATGATACCATGTGAAAGCTTAAGCAATTAATCACAACAATAAAATGTGATGCCTACTCCATATATTTATGTATGAGTTATTATTTGTTTATAACACAGTAATGATGGTGTGTGTGTGTGTGTTTGTCCTGTAGGTGGTGCTGGTGCGCTGGAACGAGCCCTTCCAGAAGCTGGCGACCTGCGATACTGACGGTGGGATCTTCGTCTGGATTCAGTATGAGGGGCGCTGGTCGGTGGAGCTGGTCAATGATCGCGGAGCTCAGGTGAGCGATTTTTATTTTTTATTATTTTTTTTATTTATTTATTTTTTTTCATTTATTTTAATTTTATTTATTTATTTTTCATTTATTCATTCATTTTTTATTAGTTTAATTGTTTTGTAATTTTATAATTTTTTATTCTTATATATATATATATATATATCTATCTATCTATCTATCTATCTATCTATCTATCTATCTATCTATCTATCTATCTATCTATCTATATATATATATATATATATATATATATATATTGTTAATCTAAATACAGTTTTAGAGTTTTTAAGTATAAAATTTAATTTAAGTACAGTATTTTTGCAGATAAACATTAGATTAGTCGGTACTGAAGCCTAATCTGGAGCTAATCTAACAAAAATAACCTATGATAATCATCCAAAACTTAGTAAAGAAGTGAAAAGAAACTTTAAAAAGAGCAAAACACAAGGAAAACAAAAATATACAAAATATTTTGGACATTTTGTAGTTTGTAATTTATTTAGCAGTATTTTGCATGAACTGTTCACTGAGTAAAATACTATTTTAATAAATATATCCTTTAAATGCTTCTGATTTGTTCAAATGCTGAAAAATACATGGCCTATATTCACCTATAATCATTTTCTGCATGCAACCATTTATGATTAATCTTTGTCCAGCACTACTTAATAATTAATAGTTATTGTGCTTGTTGTGAGCAGGCTTTAAGTGTGTGTGTGTGTGTGTGTGTGTGTGTGTGTTGTTTCTGCACAGGTGAGCGACTTCACCTGGTCTCATGATGGGACGCAGGCTCTGATCTCGTACCGTGATGGTTTCGTGTTGGTGGGTTCGGTGAGCGGTCAGCGCCACTGGTCCTCCGAGATCAACCTTGAGAGTCAGATCACCTGCGGCATCTGGACGCCCGACGACCAGCAGGTGACATTACACACACTTTGAGGAGCTTTTTGGCCAGACACATGAGATGAGGGATGTTTTTTATCCAAAATTGTGGAGTTTGTGTTCTGAACTTCATTTAATGGTCAGATTTTTTCTACTAGTCAATAAAGAAAGAAAAGCTGAACAAGTGTGTGTGTGTGTGTGTGTGTGTGTGTGTGTGTGTGTGTGTGTGTGTGTGTGTGTGTGTATGTGTGTCCCCTCAGGTGTTGTTTGGCACTGCAGACGGGCAGGTGATCGTGATGGACTGCCACGGCCGCATGTTGGCTCATATTCTGCTCCATGAGGCCGAGGGCATCGCCAGCATGGCCTGGAACTATCCCAGCTTCCTGGTGGAGGACAGCAGCGAGAGCGACTCCGATTCAGACGACAGCACGCCTCCGCAGGGTAAACACTCCATTACTACACTCCATTACTACACTTCTGCATCCTGGGATCACCTTAAAACACAGTGCACTGCAAAATCTGCCCAAACACAGTCTTGTTTTCAGAAATAATGAGTTAAAGTAATCTGTGAGTGCTAATACTTGTGTTGTTGTTGCAGTGCACACCCTGAAGCCGCTGCTGACCGTCTGCTTCACGTCCGGAGACATCAGTTTGATGAGCAATTATGATGACCTTTCACCTCTGCTGATACGCACGGGCCTCAAAGGTTGGGTTTTATTCTTTAAATCTGTTTACAAGCTCATTTAAATCATTGCATTTTATTCTGCATTTGACAATTACATTGACCAGACCAGAGCAGGATATAGATAGTTTAGTGACCAAACTTTAATATCTCCTGCTGATCTCCAATTCAAGCGCTGACTAATTCTCTTTATTAGCCAAACACCTGGATAATTGTTGTGCATTAATAATATATATTGTTATTAATTGATTAGAGACACATCTAGGCAGTGCTTCTGCAGAATTCCCTTACAGAAAGATCATTCAGAAAGCAGAAATGTTTGGATGTTAGCATCATTGAGCCATAGCAATCTATGCTACCATAACTGTAAGTACATTCGTGTGCTTTTCATACACTTTCTATTCTGATTTGCAGGTTAAGGGCAATTAAAGTATACACTGAAATGCAAAGTCAAAATATAAATAGCAGAAGTGAATAGCAATAGCAGACGCTGAATATAAAAGCAGAGACCAAGTGTGAAAGCACCCTTAGGGAAACATTATTGAGCTTAACAAATCAACCTGCTGATATGCTTTTATCCAAAGCGACTTACAAATGAGGACATGGAAGCACTTTATACAACTATAAGAGCAACAATGAAGAAGTGCTGGAGGCGAGTTTCAGGTGTGTAAAGAAAGTGTAAGAAGCAAAACATTAGTAATATTTAAAATTTATTTATTAATTTATTTATTTTTAGTACAGTTAGCTGGGAGCCAGAGAAGCAATTGCAGATTAGGAAGTGTAGTGGAGACTAACTAGTTGAGTTTTGAGTCGTTTCTTGAAGACAGCGAGTGACTCTGCTGTTCTGATGCAGTTAGGGAGTTCATTCCACCAACTGGGCAGATTGAGCGCGAGAGTTCGGGAAAGTGATTTCTTCCCTCTTTGGGATGGAACCACGAGGCGACGTTCATTCACAGAACGCAAGTTTCTGGAGGAAACATACATCTGCAGAAGTGAGAGCAGATGAGAAGGAACAAAGCCAGAAGTCGCTTGAAGCAAACATCAGAGCTCTGATTTTGATGCGAGCAGCAACTGGCAGCCAGTGCAAACGGATGAGCAGCGGAGTGACATGTGCTCTTTTAGGTTCATTAAAGACCACTCGTGTTGCTGCGCTCTGAAGCAGCTGAAGAGGTTTGGTAGAGTTAGCTGGAAGCCGGGCTAGTAGAGAGTTGCAATAGTCCAGTCTGGAGAGAACAAGAGCTTGAACAAGGAGTTGAGCTGCATGTTCAGATAGGAAGGGTCGAAGCTTTCTGATGTTATAGAGTGCGAATCTGCACGATCGAGCAGTTCTAGAGATGTGGTCAGAGAAGTTTAGTTGGTCATCAATCGTTACTCCAAGGCTTTTCACCATGTTGGATGCAGTAATGGTTGCCTCATCCATCTGGATTGAAAAGTTATGGTGTAGAGTCGAGTTGGCAGAAACTACAAGTATTTCCGTTTTTGCGAGGTTCAGCTGAAGATGATGATCTTTCATCCAGTGTGAAATATCCAACAGGCAGGCTGAGATACGAGCTGGAACCGATGGATCATCAGGATGAAAAGAGAGGTATAGCTGGGTATCATCAGCATAGCAGTGGTAGGAGAATCCATGTCTCTGGATGACTGGTCCTAGAGATGATGTGTAGATGGAGAAGAGAAGTGGCCCAAGAACAGAGCCCTGTGGTACCCCAGTGTTTAGATGCTGTAGGTTGGACACCTCTCCCCTCCAAGACACCCTGAATGACCTGTCAGAGAGGTGAGATCTGAACCACTGAATAACCGTGCCAGCAACGCCCAGTGACTCGAGCGTAGATAGCAGGATCTGGTGGTTTACAGTGTCAAAAGCAGCTGACAAGTCCAGCAAGATGAGGACTGATGATTTAAAGCTGAAATATATTTTCACTAATGGCAAACTAATTTTTTCCTACACTTTCTATGCAGAACTGAACTGTTTTAGATCAGATTACGTTCAACTTTATTGTCATCACACATGCAAATGCAGTTTAGGTCTGACCAGGAGTGCAGTAGCAGCAAGTGCAGAATAAACAAGTGTTAGTTATAGAAAACTATGTCAGAATGTTGGGACTGCTGTACAGGAGTTATTATTCAGGATTATAGATCGCCAAATTTAGCTGTTTTTATTTTAGCGTTTTATTTTTTAAAACAGGAACGCGGTTATGCATAAAACATGTGCTTGTTTGTTGTAAAAATTACTTATTAAATAACTAAAAAAAACTAATTTGTGAATGTCCTTACTTCCGGGTGCAGCTATCCTGCCGTTGTAGCTGGTGTATTGTGGGAAATTTTCTTACCCCTTGGTTTAGTGTGTGGTCCTGAAAAATGTCAGTTCAAAGGGCTATTCACCCCTTCCCCATAGCCCTACAGCTTCAAGCTAAAGAAAATTGGCACACCCCTACCCCTTCACGGGAACGTGCAAAATGAGGGGTAGGGGTAAGGGGAAGGGCTCAGGGGTAGAAACTGATATGGCAGTAAACTTCAAATGACCTTTCTATACAGTAATAGTGTGTGTGTGTGTGTGTGTGTGTGTGTGTTCATCAGATGTGGTGGTGCAGTGGTCTTCCCAGGGGGATCTGCTGGCTGTCGCAGGGATGGAGAGACTCGTGACTTCCGACCCCACACAGGCCACCCGAAACGCCATTGTAAAGTTTTACAATGTTCGCGGGGAGCACATTTACTCACTGGAAACACCTGCTCAGGTGAGTGTTTACACACACACACACACACACACACAGAGAGAGACACACACACACTCACACATAATCAAATAACAGTTTTTCCGATTTCTCGCAAATCAAAAATATCCACGTTAATTATGTAACATCAATATGAGAGATATTTTGACCACATTTGTGACAATTATATCATTTTTTACTTGTTATTATTATTATTTTTGCAAATTGTTGAATGTAATGTATGTTTTCAATAAATATACTTATAAAAAATTAATAAATTTAGTAACTTTATTGTTTTGTTTTCAAAATTGCATTAAATTTAATTTTACTTAATGTATAAAGCATTAATAAATATAAAATATATAATTATATAATGATAAATATAAAAAATAACAAGGCAGCTTTTAATGGCCATAACACTTGTACTATCTTGATGAAAACACGGGCAGTTGAGTGATGTTTTTCTGATTGCGCGTGTGTTTCTGCTTGTGTTCAGAGGCCGATCAGTACGCTGTGCTGGGGCCACCGGGACTCGCGTGTGTTTCTGGCCTGCGGGCCGGCGCTGTATGTGCTGCGGGTCGAGCACAGAGTCTCCAGCCTGCAGCTTCTGTGCCAACAGGCCATCGCCAGTGCCGTACACGAGGAGAAAGATCTGGCCAAGCTCAGCATGCCCTCCCGCCTCAGCACATATGTGTCTTCTGCCTTCGCTCCCACTATTAAGGTAAACAAAATATATCTACTGTTAAAAATACCCTAGAGCGCCAACTACTATTCAAAAAGCTGTTAAAAACTAGCTTAAGCGCCATCTGCTGTTGAAAACTAGCCTAGGGCGCCGTCTGCCGTTTAAAACTAGCCTAGAGCGCCTTCTGTTGATTAAAACTAGCCCAGAGCACCCTCTGTTGTTTAAAACATGCCTAGAGCGCCGTCTGCTGTTAAAAACTAGCCTAGAGCGCCCTCTGTTGTTTAAAACATGCATAGAGCGCCATCTGCTGTTAAAAACTAGCCTAGAGCGCCCTCTGTTGTTTAAAACATGCATAGAGCGCCATCTGCTGTTAAAAACTAGCCTAGAGCGCCCTCTGTTGTTTAAAACATGCCCAGAGCGCCATCTGCTGTTAAAAACTAGCCTAGAGCGCCTTCTGTTGTTTAAAACTAGCCTAGCGCCCTCTATTGTTTAAAATATACATAGAGCTTCCTTTGCTGTTTAAAATTAGCCTTGAGCACCATCTGCAGTTAAAAACTAGCCCAGCGCGCCATCTGCTGTTAAACACTAGCCTAGAGCGCCATCTGCTAGAGCGCCCTCTGTTGTTTAAAACTGAAATTTTTTGAAAAGTCTGGAAATTATAAATCACATTGCATTAGTTTATTGCTCAACCCTGATTTCAAGGAATACTATTAAAATGTCCATCTGTCTTTGTATCTGGCACCCTTTCCTCCCTTTAGCCTCCAATCCCAGATCCCAACAACATGCGGGACTTTGTTAGCTATCCGACGTCAGGTAATGAGCGTCTGCACTGCACCATGAAGCGAACGGAGGACAACCCTGAGGTCGGCGGTCCATGCTACACCTTATACCTGGAGTATCTGGGAGGACTCGTTCCTATTCTGAAAGGCCGTAGGATAAGCAAACTTCGTCCTGAATTTGTCATCATGGACCCGAAGACTGATGGGAAAACAGGTGGGTTTATAAAAGTAAACGGGCTGCGCTTTGGAGCAAAATGGCTGTCGGATTGGGGCTCAGTTTTTGTTTTTATTTTTACCACAGATGAAGTGTATGGGAACAGCTTCATCCCCTCCATGATTGACAGCTGCAATTGCTCAGATTCAAGTGACATTGAGCTCAATGATGATTGGGTAGGAAAGAAATCACCAAAGATCTCCAGAGGGAGCAAGTCTCCCAAACTTCCCAGGTACAACATTTTTGAGAACATTAGGTGCTCGATCACCTCATTTCATATGGTTTATTATTGACCATTAAGGTCACCTTTGCAAGAGCATCTGCAAGCTTGAATAGTTTGAAATCGCATGTGTGTCTGTTAACAAGAAATGCGAGATGAAATGCTTTACTAAGATTGCTGGAATGTAGCTTGCCCACATTTATTACTTAGCTGCAATTTTACACTGCATGCTGCTGGAAACTCACCTTGAACTTTTCTCTTCGTGTGCTGCCTTCTCTGTAGAGACTTAGTGTGTCCCTTTACCAACAGGATAAATATAGATCCTCGCAAGTCCCCCAAGCTGTCCCGCACCACACAGGAAATATCCCGATCGCCACGGTTACCCATTCGCAAGCCCTCTATTGGCTCTCCAAGTCTGACTCGCAGAGAGTTCCCACTTGATGACATCACACAGGTGATTACCGGAGTTTTACAGCTAAATTATAGATCGTGTTGGCTCTAGACTGCGTTTTCTAATCATAACAACTTCTGTCTTTTTGCGTTTTAGCACAATTACCTTGCGCAAGTTACATCTAACATATGGGGAACAAAGTTCAAAATTGTGGGACTTGCAGCATTTTTGCCAACAAATCTTGGTGCAGGTATTGCATTTTTACAATACTACATGGTTATACTACATATTTTTACGCATCCAACTTTGTCTACATTACAAATTCTTTCCCATCTCACTAGTTATCTACAAGACAAGTCTGCTTCACCTCCAGCCCAGACAGATGACCATCTACCTCCCTGAGGTGAGGAAGATCTCGGTGGAATACATTAACCTTCCTATGTTCAGTCCTAATGTCTTCAGTGAGGACGAGGACGACCTGCCTGTCACAGGAGCTTCAGGAATCACTGATGATAATCCACCTTGCACTGTTAACATACCCATTGCCCCCATACACAGCCCTGCCCAAGCCATGTCCCCAACTCAAAGCATTGGCCTAGTCCAATCCCTACTAGCCAATCAGAATGTCCAGTTAGACGTATTGTCCAACCCAACATCGACTGTGGCTCCTCCTGGGGTGTCTGATCAAGGACAGCATGACACTGTGCTTACGGCACAATACACTGTTCCTGCCAGGTATTCTAGTCCTGGTCAGGTAATCTTCGGAGGTATGGATGTTGGTCGGCTTTTAGTTGCACAGTCCCAACAGCAGCAGCAGCAATCACAACAACATCAGCAGCTGCAACAGCATTATCAGCAACAGCAGCTACAGCAACAGCTGCAACAATATCAGCTGCAGCAGCAACAGCTGTTGCAGCATCAGCACATGCAGCAACAGCAGCAGCAACACATGCAGCAGCAGATCCAACAGATGCAGCAACAGCAGCAGATGCAGCAACAGCTTCAGCATCAAATACAGCAGCAGCATCTGCAAATGCAACTGCAGCTACAGCACCAGCAAATGCAGCAGCAGTTGCAACAGCAGCATCAGATGCAAATCCCTGTTCCAACTTTGCCCTCAGGTCAACCATCATGCCCAGTCATTCAGCTTCCACAAAGTACAATACCAGTCGCTGCCCCTACTGCAGAGCACAGCACAGAGCGCGGGGAGCATGAGCTCCTGCTTAAAATTAAAACCACTCGTTCTGCCCCACAACTAGCTGAAGGTGATGCAGTGGTTTTTACAGCACCTCTTGAGATTAGCAAAATGAACCCGCCCCCTCCTTACCCTGGCACAGTCGCCGCTGCAGTGGCAGCTGCTACTGCTGCAGTTTCGGCTGCTGCTTCTGCAAGTTCCACCTCTGGGGCAGTGGGAAGCAGCTCTAGCACGTCATCCTCAGGGGAAGTTTGTCTGAAGAAAGGGGATCTGACCTTGTATCCACCTAGTGCACAAGGGGCTCAGTACCCAACTCCATTGGGCTATGAACGCATCACCACATTTGACAGCAGTGGAAATGTGGAAGAGGTGTGCCGACCCCGCACACGACTTGTTTGCAACCAGAATGTTTACACGCTGCAGGGCCCAGGAAGCTCTGCCACCCTCAGGGTCTCATCATCTTCCTCTGCTGTAGAGGGGAAGAAGGTGCAGCTGCCCTATGCCTCTGCTACGTTGAACCGTCTCACTGTGCCAAGGTACTCTATACCCAGTGGGGACCCTCCTCCATACCCTGATACAGCTAACCAGGGCGGAGCAGGGCGCAACCCTGGCCAGAGACTGGACAGCAGCTTGATTCATGCTACCTTGAGGCGCAACAGTCGGGAAGCTGCATTGAAGGTTTCCCAAATGCTGGATCACCAGCGGACTTTACCCCCCAAGGCTAAAGCCAGTACTTTGTCTGCTTCCTATCAACCAAGAGGGCCGACAGCTCTTTATACATGCAGTCAGTGCAGTAGCAACAGTAGTGGAACCACAAGCAGTGGAAGTAACGGAATAGCTGGGGGCACAATCATTAGGCAAGATTTCCCACCAACTGGGGGTGCTGCACCTCATAGCACTGTTATAGTGCACTCCAACAGTGCCTCGCCTCTGCCTTCTCAATCCTCCTACAGTCTGCTCAGTCTGGATGGCACCGGTGGAGTGGCTACTGGAGCTGGAAACAGGGAAAGAGCTGACTATATCAACTCAGCTTTTACAGAGGACGAGGCATTGAATCAGTCTCTGAGGCAAATGGCCCTTAATACCGAGGTAGTGGGTTTGACAGTCAAACGGCCTCCACCGTATCAATGGGACCCATCTGTTACAGAAGAGATTTGGGTTCCTCAAGAGCGCACAGCGACTCTGCCCCCTTCTGGACCTCCTGCACCTCACAAACCTCCTCCGCTCATCCTCGGTCCTGCACAGCATCTGGACGTTTCTCGTCTTCCGTTTGTCCTCTCACCTAAATCTCCAACAAGTCCTAACAACACCACTTTTCCACTAGCAGGAGCTTATCAGATTGCATTGCCCTATCCATCAAGTGCTGCATACAGTAGTCCCCCACTGCAGGCAGTGCAAGCATCTCCACGGCCGCCTTCTCCTAAAGAGGCGGTTGCTCCACTTTCCTTTCCCCAGCAAGACCAGTCAGTGGTCTTGCCTCCTGGTTATCCACCAAATTTGCCCAACCTGGCTTGCTGTCCCCTCCCACCAATGTACCCTGGCACAGCTTCTTGTTCTAGCCTGCCTGTAACCGCCATTCCTCTTCATCCATGGGGTTCTTACAATCCCTGTCCCCCCATGCCAAGCCCCCCGGGTCCCGCCCCATCTCTCCCACCCAAGGCCTCCCACATGCTGGATAAACCTGTTCGTTCTCCACCTCCTCAACCGCCGCCTTTGCCTTCGCCTCCCCCAGACCTCCAGACTGCGGTCAGTCCCCCAGAAGCAATAGCTGAAGCCGGGGAAGGCTTTCAAGAGGTGCTCTCGCTTAACGAAAGCCCTGTTCCTCAACGAGCAGACAGGTTTGGCAAGAAGAATCGAAAGCGTTTGGACAACACTCGGGCAGATGAAGCTAATGTTCCAGCAATCACAGAGGGAGGCAACAAGTCCAAAAAAGAGGGCCGTGCCCTTGGGGACTTCAACTCCCTCATCTCCAGTCCGAGGTTAGGTGGGAGAGATAAAAAGAAACCTAAAGGTCAAAAAGAGCAGCTGAAAGCCAAAAAGCTAAGCAAGGCCACCACAAATGAGTTCCAGGACAGCTCAGAGAGCGAGCCTGAGCTCTTTATCAGTGGAGATGAGCTGATGAACCAGAGCCAGAGTGGGAAGAAGAGTTGGAAAGCCAAAAGGAACCTGCGGGCAGGAGGTTGTGAGCTGGATGAGATCAAATGTCGAAAAGCGAATGAGAAAGAGGACCGAGGCCTCGGCAGCCAGGGCTTCGTCTACATCATGGCCAACAAACAGCCTCTCTGGAATGAAGCCACGCAGGTCTACCAGCTAGACTTTGGAGGGAGAGTCACACAGGAATCAGCAAAGAACTTCCAGATTGAGCTTGAGGGGAGACAGGTATGCAAATAAGCTTTAGATTCTGTTTGAGTTTATTGAATTTATGCAGTTGTTCGCTTCTAACCTGCTTTATTCTGCCTAGGTGATGCAGTTCGGAAGGATCGACGGGAACGCATATATCCTGGACTTTCAGTACCCCTTCTCAGCTGTGCAAGCTTTTGCTGTAGCACTTGCTAATGTCACCCAGCGCCTCAAGTGATCGACTGGGCAGGAACGTTTTAGCCAATTAAACCATTTCTTTCTTTGCTCTTTTGTTGATTTTTAGTAATTCTCCCAGTTAAAGATGCAGTACTAATACTTGAAAACTACATCTGGGAAGTTATTGCCACATTTTCCGAGTGTTAGAGGTACTACTGGGCACTGAAATCTATTGCTGTACAACATACTGTCATTACTAATTCCTTTTTCTTGTTTTGCTTAGGATACTAATGTTTGTCACACTTCCAGGAGGTCATATCTAAACTCCAGGGACTTTACCCTTGGAGATCAATTGCTAGCATCTAATTAGATGCTTCTTGGCTTGCAGTCATAACGTGTATTTTAATAAGACATAGTAAGACTGAATATGCAGTCTGTAGCTGATACGCTCTAGGTATTTCTGTAAGGATGGACTTGCTTTGGTAGACAGAAAACCGAATAAGCTCAACGGTGAAACCATTGATGCAGTATTCATTAGCACTCTTGATGTTTTTAGTGAATAATCAATCCTGATGATCCATGATTTCATGTTTGTTCCTTTCTTTGCTAGTCACTATTGTTCATCCGCTCTTTTTGTTTTTTAGCACACCCCGCATGTGTCATTTTATATTTGACGAACACGTTATTTTTATCGTCGTGTACATCCTTTCTAATTGTACATCTCTGTCCTTCTGAGAAATCAGAAGGTAAGATTAGCCAATCAGAGCTCGCATCCCACTCCTCCTAAAATGAAGTGACTGCCCCCTGCTGACGCTTCTGTGAAGTGATTTCGTGTAATGGCTCTCAAGCCACATTTAGTCCACCTCAACATGAGCAAACAGGAGATATTTTTCTACCGTGTTTCAACAGTGTCATTTCATACCTTTTATTTTTGGATAACGACGTATTTGTGCGACACCTTTTGTTATCAGTGCTAAGAATATCACAGTGTTAGAGTTCACATAGAAATTCAGCAGTAGGTTCGTGAGGAACAGCAATGATTGATAAATGTAGTTGAAGACTAAATTAATAGTCCTCCGGTGGATTTTTAATTCCTCAAGCACTGTAGACTTCCCTAGTCAACCTAAATATCCTGGTTAAGCTATTAACAAAATAAATTAATGCTTAAAAATGTGTTTGGGGGAAAAATCAATACTTAAGAAATTAAAATTTCACAGGAGGACTAATCATTTTGCCTTTGATAATGGAGGATTAATGATTGCGACTCTTTGTTTTTATTATTCGACTGACAAGCAAGCGATGCAGCACGAGTAGACAAGTCCCACTTCTGCAGAAAGTGAATTTAAAGGTCATTACATTTCAATGTTTTCCAATGGTTTGGCAGTGTTTGTTTCGGGAACCATTACATCGTGTGTGTGTGTGTGTGTGTGTGTCTTGCGTCTTTTGTAAAGAGTGACCCAAACACAAAGAGGCTTTGTTTTTGGGGGTTTAATATTTTTGCTCCTTCACCAGGATTTCTGGACTCGACCCTGATGGTGAACTGAAACAAATCAGTAGTTGGTTATTTATTTATTTATGTCTTGTTTGTTGTGCAATATCGTCAAGACTAATGCTTTCGTTACCGTCGGATTTCCTGATACACGAGATCTAACATGGCATTTAATCTGTGATTTGTGTACAAATGATTCTTCAGCTTGGTGTTGTTGTATATAACGTGGATGACGGATGCGCAGGCGGTGGGCTTCGGTGTGTTTTCTGCAGTTTTGAAGGTGTGTGTTGGTGATTGTGGTGTAGTCAAGTGACCTTGAATGGGCTCGTCACGTGTGTTTTTGTACAGTCCGGTTTGCGTGTTCACACAACAAATGGATGAGTCTTTTATCACTGAAAGGATTGAGATTGTTACACAATCCATTCACACACACGTGTGTCCACAGCGTGCGGATTGGGTTTTCTTGTACAATTACTGGACATGAAATCCAGCAAAATGTGCCCTGTGTTTGTAGGAATAGGTCAAAGTGGTGCTTTTGGGGACGGAGGAGTCGTTTGGTGAATGAACGTTCGTATGGCATGCTTGGAGAAGACTTTAAAGAATAACACAAGTGTTTGTTTAGAGGTGAGCATGGTACGGTTTTGGAGACGCACGCCATTGTTTGTTATAATTGCAACACGTTTTAGCATTTCAACCTTGTGTCCATTCTGTCTGAAGTGAAACACCCATGATGCCGTTTGGTTTTGAGGTGACTGCTGGCAGGAGAGTTACACATTGATTTAGTTACCTTTTCTGAAGTGTCTTTACCTGTTTCTTTGCTCTATATTGTATATTCAGGGGAATCTTACGCTTTGCTAATTCCCCCTTTTTTTGACTCTTCTTTTGTAAACAGACTCTGGGGTTCGGGGTTAGGCGTGACTAACTTGAAGCCTATGCACTAGGGTTTGCATTGTACTGTAATGAACAGTTTTGTTGTTCCTCAAAAGCTGAATCGTGTCCTTTTGTCGGTGTGTAGCCCAATAAAGTGTACAGGCTGAATGATCTCTCCTCTGTTACGGAGTTAATTTTGCAATATTAAGCAGATCCACTGACATTTAGGTAGTAAAATTAGTGTATTATACTTATTGTATGTACTACTTTTTAAGCATAGTGTAGTGTTAACTATAGTGAACCGATCAACTGTAATAGATATTGTAGTGTACTGTAGTTTTGACTACAGTAAACTGGTGTATTGCTGTGTTTATACCCTACAGCTGTAGAAAAACAACAGATTTGTTGGTCATTTGCAAGGCCAGACAGAATCTGCGAACATTATTTGCTATTTCTGCACAGAATTTTGTAAAATATCTGTGGATTTGTGCTTTATGTCTGTAATTATATTTATGGTTTAAGAGTTTAACTAAATACAATCCAATTAAATCCACTTGTTTGGTACATAAAGCAAGTATGTCATATAAAATGTCTACTAAATGACAGAAAATATGACTTAATTGTACATAAATACTACAAAGATTTACATGTTATTCAATAATACTTCTGACATTAATACAAAACTGAATGCATATATATTTTTCTGTACATTCACGCAAGTAAATAGACTCAACGGTTGGCTAAAACATCTGCAGGTTCCACATTGTTGTTAGAAGGGATACAGCTGCGACCAGAAGTTAATTAAAATTATTTATATTGTTTATTAAATTACCCATTAATCGTATTTTATAAACGTCTACTCCTACCCAAAACCTAAACCCAACCCTCACACTAATGTAAAACAGTAATTATACTGAGTATTATTCACTATATTTATCAAATTACCTATTTAATTTTATTTTAATAACGTCTACCCCTATACAAACCCTCACACTAATGTAAAACAGTAATTATACTGAGTATTATTCGCTATATTCATCAAATTACCCATTCAGTTGTATTTTAATAACGTCTACCCCTTACCCAAACCCTCACAGTAATGTAAAACAGTAATTATACAGAGTATTATTCACTATGTTTATTAAATTACAGAATAAATTGTATTTTGATAACGTCTACCCCTATACAAACCCTCACGGTAATGTATAACAGAACTTATACAGAGTATTAATCACTATATTTTTTTAAATTACCCATTCAGTTGTATTTTAATAACGTCTGCCCCTTACCCAAACCCTCACAGTCATGTAAAACTGTAATTATACCAAGAATTATTCACTGTATTTATTAAATTACAAATTAAATTGTTTTTTAATACCGTCTACCCCTATCCAAACCCTCACAGTAATGTTAAACAGTCATTTTGTTGAGTTTTATTTACTATATTTATTAAATTACCCATTAAATTGCATTTTAATATCATCTGCCCCTTACCCAAACCCTCACAGTAATTTAAAACAGTAACTTTGTTGAGTATTATTCACTATATATATTAAAATTACACATTACATTGTATTTTAATAACCTTTACCCCTTACCCAAACCCTCACAGTAATGTAAAAATATTAATTATTGTTTTACAGTCACAAAAACTATGGGAGTATCCGCAAAATATTCATTATTGTTGTACAGAATCACAAATATGATGCTGCATTATTGATGCGAGTATCCGCAGCTGTATCTCTTCTAGACTTCACCCTGTCCGTGGTCCTGAACGCCTGTGGTCACGTGACAGCCCCCTGCGCGCCCCTGTGTGCTCGTGCGCTCAGCAGATCCTCGAACCTGCACCATTGAAGCGCTTCGTCCGCATTTCCAGTCAACAGAGCCGCCAGAAACAACCGTGAAACGCCATTTATTTACCTCCAGCGGAGATGGAGCGGGTGGAGGCCGAGTTCTGCAGCATGGAGAACCCGCTGGTCGGGGAAATGAAGCGCTTCTGCAGGAACATCACTGAAGCCTGCAATGAGCTGAAGGAGGAGCTGACGCCGTACAGGAATGAGCGATTCTACAGGTACAAACACCACACACAATAATGCTTTTATTCAGTAAATCATCAGATTGTGTGTTTGATACACGCGCAAACAAACAAACAAACGATGACGAGTCAAAATGGCGCGCGCGTGAATTTAAATGTGAGTCAGTAACGTTACACCGGTCATCAAGCCTAACGGATAAAAATATCCTTAAACAATCTGTACCGACCTAAAGGATGAACTGACAGCGTACATGAACGAGAGAATATACATGTACAGATTTATTTAACATACCTAACCAATAATAATGCTTTTATTCACTATATTAGATCGTTTATCTGTTTTCACGCGCAAACTAACAAACAATGACGAGTTAAAATGGCGTGCGCGTGAGTTTAAATGCGAGCCAAACACCGTGGATATGAAGTTAGAAGTATAAATATTCTTTCTAAAACGGATAGTTCGAGTAATTAGTGTATATTAGACTGTTTTTATTTATGATGTAGCACATTACAGCTACAATAAAGAGGTGTAAAACATTAAAATATTTTTTTCTAAAACAGAGTTGGAGTATTGGGTGTTTATTAGGCCATCATATTGTTAATTATGATGTAGCACATAAGAGCTATAATAAAGAGGTGTATTTACTGGTTATGACCACTGTTCTCTATTATATATCAGTGAGTTAAATGCAGAAATAATATATTTGTTGAATGGATAGTTTTAGTCCTTGTTATATATTTATTTTTATTATACATATTGATAGAGCAAAAATTACTCGCATAGGAAATGACAGTCCTTGGTCTGAAGGTGTACAGGAACGAGAGCTTCAACAGGTACATATTTATTAAACATGCAAAACATTAAATAATGCTTATTTATTAATTTTTATTTTACTTATTTATTAACTTATTATTTATTTACTAAATCTTCAGATTGTCTATGTTTCCATGTGCAAACAAACAAATTAAAATGGCGTGCGCAGGAATTTAAATATCAGTCAAACACAACACAAGTCAAAAGCATAAAATATTATTTATTAAATGGATAGTTACAGTCTTTTGGTGTTTAATAGGTTTACAGCATTGTTTTATTCATGAGGAAGCACATTACAGCTACAATAAAGAGGTGTATTTACTGTAAATGTGAGTCAATACACCGGTTATGAAGTCTAACCACTGTTCTCTATTATAGATGAGCGAGTCAAACGCAGAAAAATATTAATTGTTAAACAGATACAGTCCTTGTTTTTATTTATTTATTATTATTAAGCCCAAAACCGTGTACATATAAGTGTATAGATACAATAATTAATAGGGAAATAATTATATATGGCAATGATAAAAATGTACAAATAAAAACTGAAAATAAAAGTGAGTCAAACATCGTTATAAAGTCAAAAGCATAAAAAAAACATAAAAATCACAGCTACAATAAAGAGGTGCTGAAACGAGCTAAATTTCAGCAACACATCTATATCTATTAATTATTTAGGAGTCAACCATCATATTTGATATATTAAATTGTACAGATTTTTAAAATCATAATAGATGCTTAATAGCCTTTTTAAGTTCTTATAATTGAGGTCAAAGAAGTTTAAAATAAATATAATTTTATCTTTACAGAAAGAAATTAAAGGAGGGAGTTATAGACATTACTTTTGCTTCGTGTATGTCAAACTTTCCAGGAAAAATGATCAATTTCAAAGCATTCTCGACTGTATTACAGCCAGTTTTAAGATTTAAAGAAGAATCATACATTCAAGTTCATTGTTTTTGTTGAATAAATTAAAATCGACTCTGAACCCTGTTTCCAAAAGTCATCAGAATATTATCTATATCTATTTATTGATAGTACAGCTAATAACGCACTTGACATGCGCACTGCGGTGGAGGTCACGTGGTTTGAGAGGAGTGACGTCAGTGGGCTGATGTGTGCGGATATGCGCCGCCAGCGAACAGTATTCTCTGATTTATTTCCGTCGCCGGTGGGATAAAATCAACGCGATGGAGCGGTAAGTGTGCGGATGATGGTTAACTCGTGAAACACACACACAGACACTCTCGTATGCGCTCGGGGCGGGTTTTGCGGCCTCTGTTTCTGAGCGTACACATGTTTGAGTGAGCGGAAGTGATTTTACACCGCTTCACACAATGTTTACAGTGCTGAATAAATAACTGTGTGTGTTTGGAGTTGCTTGTTTTTTTGGTGTTTAGGACGCACTGTGTGTCTCGTGTTTGCTGTTGTGTCCGGTGGGTGGATAATGTGGGCGTGATCTTGTTCTGTGTGTGCGTGTGCGTTTCATGTGTCTTGTTGACTGTAAAATTTGAACTCCGATCTTCTTGTTTTTAATAAAACTATTGCTTTTTAAGCCTCATTATGTGCAGTGGCAAGTTTAATGAGCATTTTAGTTGGTCATATATTTGTTAGGGATGCTCAGATCAGGTTTTTTGCAGCTGATACCGATTCCTTGTCATGGTGATCGGCCGATACCGAGTACCGATTCTAATGCTTCAAGCTTTATAATGCATAAATACATATTTAATGCACATTATTCCTCTAAATATGATATATAAGTAGAGAACTCTCCCTATTTAAGAAAATAAATTAGGGATGCTGCATATAATGATACCTTAAATACATCTCTTTTAACCATTTAATGTCAACATGTCATGGCCATAAGCGGCTTTACAGAAAATAATAAAACACAGATATAAAAATTGGTTAGAAAATTTACAAACAATGCAATTTGGAAACACTGCAAATGATGAAAGACGAGTTCAACATGTCTCAATCAAGAACAAGTTTGGAGCGCATATTTAATGCATAAGAAATTAAAATGCACACATAAATTCATTCATGTTTACTAAAAGGAAATACACCTATAAACTACTGTTTATTACAATAAGGAAATTACAAGAAGTTATATTAATAACTATTCATGTTAAAATAAATAATCTTTAAGTTTTATTTATCTAATATTTCCAGCAAGCTTTTAGTGAACTTGTAATATTGTCAAAAACACAGAACTTTCAGCAGTTATATGTAAAAAGCCTTAAATACATGCAGGATCATTCAAATATTTAGCTCATCTCCAACTATTGACAGCAGATCTCTCAGAGAAAGGGAGAGATTTACACACACAATATCTTTACTGCTCTATTCATTTAACCTAACATGTGTAATGCTTAGAGCATCACTGTGCCTCTCACAATCTGTTCTCCTGCTCATTCACTTTCATCGCCATGATTTCCAGGTATTTTAACAAATGTTTGGGTTAGGGGCAATTGCTTCACTTGCGTCACAGCAGCTCAAAACATGGTAAATACAATGGCTGCATCTGCAGCAAAAAGAGCATCACTCTTGTGAGCCGTGCCAATACACTGTATAAACAGGTCGCACTGCATGGGTGTATATTTTAGCTGTTGTGATGCACGCCCCCACACATCATTTACCTCCTCATGTTGTGGCTGCTGTAGGCTATATAATATACAGGAGCGCACGTGCGTCTCCCCCCTGTTATTGGTTCATGAGATTGACAAGTACCAATCGAGTCATTAAATGTGATGGTCGGCCGATACCAATCCTCTGTCGGAGCATCCCTAATTTTTGATATGGTGCTTGTTGTTTATGCTAATTAATGGGAACTTTGTGCAAATGACATCAGTGTCATATTTAAAAAAATGTTTGTGATGTTGTCATAAAACTAATCATGTTTCTCAGATCTATCAGAAATCATACAAGCACCACAATAATAACATGTGGAGACGATCACAGCGCAGGGGTTTGAGTCTCAGTGAATGTGTGTGACTTGAAAATATTGTAAATATCTGCCATTTTTACCCCAGTGTAACGTAAATACAGTCTTTGTCCTGTCCTGTCTCAATTATAAATTATAACATTTCTATCAAATGTATTTTTTTTTGTTTTGGTTTGTTTAATAATATTGTTGATGGTGTATTTTTATTGGTATGAATCAGTGTGTTAAACAAATGTGTTGTATTTAAAGGGACAGTTTAGGGACGCACACACACAACTTCTACTCACATTCAAGTGGTTGTAAACTTTTATGAATTTTTTTTTTGATGATATCTAAAGAATGCTGGATAAAAAAAAGCAGCTATTGATTGTGTGTGTGTGTGTGTGTGTGTGTGTGTACACACAGATTGGCCCCGATGCGTCTCTACACTCTCTCCAAGAGACACTTCGTGCTGGTGTTTGTGGTCTTCTTCTTCTGCTTCGGCCTCTCCACCCTCATCGGTTTGTCAGGTGAGATCTCCACTTACCTGATTCTGTTTCTTAGCAACAGTCAAGATGCTCTATAGTAGATCACAATTCAGAGTCCAGAATCACACCACAAGAAAAACACGAAATGTTTAGCTTGTGTAGAGACTGCCAACTTTTGGGGGACCCATGTCAATTATTATTGTTTTTGCTTTATTAAAGGAGCATAAAAGCACTATAATATGTGTGCAGATATTTAGAAACATTCTTGTTTATCTGAAAAACACTGCTGAAGTCAGATATTCTGCTTTGAACATGTGCTTTACGTGCCGGAGCGGCTGTCTTTGTTTTGGTCATTTAACCCACCCACTGCCATTTTAGCCCACTATATTTCAGCACCCCGGGTTGCCAGATGGTGGAAAACAGCGTATTTCATTCACTCAGTCTGAAAGACTCTCGAAGTGTGCCTTCATGACTGAAATGCGCCCTCTGGTGGACAGTAGCAGACTCTGAAATGAGATACAGATTCAGAGTTGCACATGAGGTTATTAATTAATAATATAAATATTATGAGTGTAAACATGAGGTGAGCAGGTCACATTGTAACCCCGTGTCTGAACAACATGCTACCTGATGAGATGCGCTGTGATGAGCAGTTTGGCTGTTTGCTGCAGACGAAACAGGACAGAAATGTAAACACAGACATTCAGAAGCACAGAATAGTGCACTCACTGCACTCCAGCACAATGCTGAGCTTTATCATCTAATGAAGACATATTAAAGCTCTTGAACATGATTAAATGTAGATGCTGAATCACTGATATGTGTTGGTTTGCACTGAGTCTCAGCTCTAAAGTTCAATTGTATTCTCCAGATCTGAGCTGAACTATCTGCTGCTGCTGTCAGTGGGATGGCAATAAATGTGATGTAAAATGGCATTCAGACTCGCATTATTAACAATTATCACTGAATAAAGCACATGAGCTGATCCTTGTCAGTTTCTGTTGTTCAGCTGTGAGAAATAGAAGCTGTTTCTACAATATAAATTTGAGGTTTTGGTTAGAACAAAAACTCCTTTTAATATGAAAATATTCCTTCTGTGGCTTGCTGTTGCTTTTAGTCAGAACACGACTTAAATCAGCATTTAGGCTCGATAGTCAGGCACACTCATGTCAATCTGGCAACCTGTGCAATACCTAGTTCATCCTCTGGGTGTGAAGTGTACACACTGCACCTTTAACCTCAAGAAAACTATCGGATAATGTTGTACTGTTGGGGTTGTTTTCATCCACTCTGGGGTGATCTAGTCTTCATTTGGCCTCAGCTTTCTCAGTGTTTCAGCTAATGGAGCATTTTTTTGTGACAAATCTTATTTTGATGGATATTTTAGGAAATGTAAAAAAAAAAAAAACTCAACAATACACTCTGGGCAGACTGACTCCCCTTTGGTGATGTTGGTGCTGTTTTTTGCTCCATTGACTTTCATTATAATCACATTTATTGATTGTAAAGCCACGACCGCAGATAATCATGCATTCCTGAGTGCTGCTGGTTTTCCCTGTTGGGAAGAGGGACAATGTGTCATTATTACTGTTAATCATCAGTTGCTGTGTAAAAAAAGCTTAGTTTCTGGCTTCTATGTGGAGTATAGTGTGAAAAAGTATTATCATAAACAGTGTATTTTAAGACACGGCCAAATAAAAATAGAGCATTATGTGAAACGATACCTTTTTTATTTTGTCCGCATATATATGCACAGCCCTAGTGTGTATTAAACCTCACTGAATGTCTTCAGTTGTGTGTCCAGCGGTGTTTCAGTAACTCTACAAGAGTGCATTATGGGGGAAAACAGGAGACACGGAGGCTGGTTCTGCTCATGCAGGACTGACACTGACAAACCTCTGCTTTATTATGCGAGACGTGGAGCTGAGTTTGTTCTTTGTTCACTGATAAACGTCTCTCCTGCAGGACCAAAGATCATAAGTGAGAATCATTACAACGGGCTGAGCGTCAGCCCCAACGGCTCCAAGGTGAGATCCTCTGCAGAGTCAGCGGCAGCCTCAAATACACTCTTAGATATTACAGTAAATAGTACTATACACACATACAGTTGAAGTCAGAATTATTAACCCTCCTGTATATTTTTACCCCAATTTCTGTTTAATGGAGAGAAGATTTTTTCCAACACATTTCTAATTATAATAATGTTAATAACTGATGTCTTTTCTCTTTGCCATGGTGATAGCACATAATATCTGACTAGATATTCTTCAAGACACTAGTATTCAGCTTATAGTGACATTTAAAGGCTTCACTAGGGTGTCAGGGTAATTAGGCAAGTCTTTGTATAACTGTGGTTTAGCTAAAAAAACAAAACTCCTGACTCTGTTCGACATCACTTCAGAGATATGAAAGACTAAATTCACAGAAGGGCGAATAATTCTGACTTGAAGTGTGTGTGTGTGTGTGTGTGTGTGTGTGTGTGTATATACTTTCTTTTTCTTAGTTTTCCTTTATATTTATTTATACTTATATTTAGAAGAAGAGGAAGAAAAAACAAAGAACAAAGTGTTTGACATATATGTTACAAAATCAAGTCATAATACATTTGAAGCACATGATCACAAATTGTTTTCAATGACATACTCAGTCCATTTTTGCCAATACTTGTTGCACTTTTTTGAATCATGTCTTAATTTAAAAGAGAGTCTCTCCTTACAGTGTATTTCCTTTACAATCACTACACTGTAAAACCCAACAGTCCACTTTATCAAATGACATGAGTGTAGTTAACTTAAAATAATAATACTATTATAATAATTAATACTAAAAGTTGAATCTGCTCATGTGAAAAGAGTTTTAAACTCAGTGTTGAAGGTGATGAGTTAAATAGCCACACTATTAGCATGTACAAGAACAATTGTCAACAGCATACATCTCGATATTAGAATTGAGACAAATATTTGGCAAGTCATTTACATACAGCGCAAGTAAAAGTGGGCCCAAGACTGAACCAGTGGGATTCCTTCTGCCATTAAGCAAAAGAGAGCAGTACAGACTCACAAGCACTGGAGATCTTGAACTGCTGGTGTAAATCTGATGTTTGTTTGTGTTCTGTCTTCAGATCGGCCCGTTTGCCTTCTCATCTCCGCCGCTGTCCAACTATAACCAGCAGCTGTGGCTCACGTGCATCATTGAGCTTCAGAACAACAGTGAGTTCACTCTAAACACACAGCAAACTGCTTCATGATGTCATCAACACATCTAACTGTAGCATCATCCAGCTTTCATCTCTTATGTGCAGCAATAGGGCATGAAGATGAATTATGACAAGTTGCATACATATTTTATCACTGGGTTTACGTTTCTCATTTATCTACTGTAAGAATGGGGTTTTAACTACAGCGGTTCTGAACTGTAGTCTCAGTATGATGGTGAGAAACTGTACATTTCTAGGCAGATTATCCTTTTGCAATCTTGCACCAAAAAATGGAAATAAGGGCAGTTTTAATAGCTAAAATGTGGGAGAGCGTTGCTGTTATGTGATTTGTATTGTATTCCAATATGGAGCAATTAAGTGTTGATGTTAAATCAAAATTACCTCACAAATACTTGATTATGAAATGATTTAAAGGCACCTCTGGTGAAAAATCTACTTTTCAAGCTGTTTGGACAGACATGTGTGTGTATAAAGTGTATAGACCGTCATATTGGGGTGAAAAACACACACAGTCCTTTTTTTTTTTAATTTAACAACATAAAAACTGTGGACCAATTGGAGCGGATCTCAGAGCGACCGCAACTTGACATAGGAGTGCGGCCCCCCCGCCCTGAATTGATTGACAGCTTGGCGTAGCATGTCCCGGTAGTCACGTGGATAATCATGTCAACAAGACCAGACGTGCGCAAAGCAACCGGGAATAAAAGCTCTGTTCAGTTCGCTCGGATCATCAATCATGATCAAATGTGATCAAGAGTGAGTTTCACATGTTTAACATGTTTCAAAACAGAGCACGTGTGTAATGAAGTACAGCCATTCACTTCAGCTTTACTGCATCAGCACAGCTGCGTGTCAGAACAATTATAAAAGACATTTTATATATATTTTCCAGATATTTACCGGTATCACTGTGTGAAAGGGGCTATTGTATCTGCGCTCTTGGTCAGTTTGTGGGTTGTTGAGGGGGGTAACTTTCACGTCTTTAAAGGATAACCGCGGTCTCCTGACATGCAGTTAATTAATTACGCTCAATAAAAAATAAAAAATAAAAATAATAATACATATAATAAATACATCACCCATCACGCACCCTGCCACCTTGGAGCCTTCGGATTCGCCCATTGACAGAGTCCTCTAGTAAGGCCAACACTTCCATTGCCATACACTAAGGGTTGTATACATCTGCAAATGCTTTTATATGTTCTAAATCACATAAATGGTAAAATAAAAATATATATATTGTGTCAATTAAGCCATTTATCAATTATAAATGAACAGCAATGTTTTTCACATGTGTTGGTGCCATACTTTGTAGTGTGCAGTTTAACATGATTGCCTCTAGGAGTTCCAATGGAAATAAAACAAACACACAAGAAATGCACGTACACCAGGCATGAAGCTGGCGTGAACCAGCGCACACTCTCACGTTCATTTCATCGTTAGTAAATCCAAACGTGAGCGGGAAATCTAGTGTACGCAAAGTTTTTGTGCGTACGCTGCGTTGATACATGATGCATTCTGAATTCTGAGTTTTTGGCTTGTGTTTTCTGAATTTTGAGAAATGGGAATGTTTCCGTGTGATTTTGTTGAGTGTGTGTGTGTGTGTGTGTGTGTGTTCGAGTGTTTTTGTTGTGTGTGTGTTTTGTTGTGAAAGTGTTTGTGTGGGTTTGTCTGATTTTGTGGAGTGTGTTTGAGTAGTGTGTCTGCATGTGTTTGTGTGTGCGTGCGTGTGTGTGTTTGAGTGCTGTGAAAGTGTGTGTTCATGTGGAGTGTTTGTCATCATTTGTTTCCTTTGTATTGTGAGTCTGCATTTTTGATGTCATTTCTCTGAACTCTGGCAATTCTGTCTTTGTTCTAGTAGATCAGATCTTGCAGGTGTGTGTGTGTGTGTCATTAATGTGTGTGTGTTCAGTTGTAGATCTGAGCTGGCGGGAGTTCGGGATGAATGTGGAGCTGCAGGGTGTGGTGCAGGACACCAGTGTGATGCGCATCAGTGACAACGTGCACAACAGGAACAGAAGCCTGCACTGCTCCGCTGTGAGTGTCTGTCTGTCTGTGTGAACACTTCCAAGAGGGTGTGCTTGTGTGTGCACGTGTGTTTTTTCAGGTCTTCTTGAGTATGTGTATGAGTGATTGTGTGTGCATATGTGTGTTCTTTCAGGTCTTTATATGTATGTTTGAGTGATTATTTGTGTATGTTTGGTGTGTGTTCTTTCAGGTGTTTAGGTTAAGTGCATGTGTGTATTCTTTAAGGTCTTCATAAATGTGTGTGTGTGTGTGTGTGTGTGTGTGTGTGTGTGTGTGTGTGTGTGTGTGTGTGTGTGTGTGTGTGTGTGTGTGTGTGTGTGTGCAGCATCAGCAGGCGTGTGATGAGATCATCGTCCTGCATCTGGGTTATCTGAACTACACTCAGTACAAGATCAACGTCAGCTTCAGGAATCTGCAGGACGACCTCAAGGACAACATCAAGAATGTGACTTTTGTGGTGAGTCTGGAGCGTAAAGAGCTCATTTCACAAACACAACCGAGTCATATTTGCCTGATTAAAACTCAGAAGAGCAAAAGCATGAGCAGAAACATCCATGTAGAAGAGCAGCACGCAGCTCAGCTCTGTTTTACTAAATCTACACTATCACCGGCTTATTATAATGATTAATCTTCATCTGTTTGTGTCTGTGTGTGTGTGTTTTTGGAGCAGTTTAAGATGTACCAGGACACCTTCTCTCAGATGGAGATCTGGTTCCGCTTTGTGTTTGTGGTGATGACCTTTATAGTCACTGTGAGTAACTCTACACACACACACACACACACACACACACACTTCACAGGGCTCGAAATTGTGACGGTTTTGGTCACATATGCGCCCGACATTTTATTTATCCGACTTCAAAATATATTTGGGAGCATGTGTGCGAGTGTTTAAAATTGTTGTCATGCGAGCAGTTTTCACAGCAGAATGTTCACCACATGCGCGGAATTAGGAGGCATTCTGGCATTAAGCATCTTTGCACCTGGAGAGCTGCAGACCAACAATAATGACGCAAAGACCCTCACACACACATTTATATCACAGCACACACACTGATGAAGTGCATGCTGGAGTTTATAAGGGTTCACATCTGAGTTTGTGCATTTTCTCTTATAGAATTAAGCATTTCTCCTACTCCGTTGCATGCATACCTTAATGTGTATTTTCAGAATCTATGCTTATTTTGGCATTTTCATTAGGCAGGGCTCAAAATTGTGACCATTGTGGTCGCATATGCACCTGAAATTTTAATCTATGCAACCTCAAAATATATTTGGGAGCATGTGTGCGAGTGTAAAAAAGTGTTGTGTGCGACCAGTTTTTCCTGCAAAATGTTCAGCACATGCGCAGATTCGGGAGACATTCACGCAGAATGCATCTCTGCACTTGAAACGTGAAACGCAGCGCTCAGGAATGGTTTAAAACAGTTGTCATGTCAACTTGCTGCAGTAAACAAAGCCAAGTCCGTAATGCTTGCCCCGCCTTCATGCTCTTCTTATTGGTCCACCACTGCTCTAGCACTGAAATATCAGCTGTCAATCACTCAGTCAGCGCCTTCTGCCTTGGGACGACAGAGAGAGCTACTGCCATGAAAAACTGTAAAGCACTGAAGATGAGAATGAAGAGAACACTGACAGATTTAGTTTTAGAAACCATCTAAAGTTACAGATAATGACACATCTTACTAGTGATCATGTGCTGAATGTTAATCCACCATCTACACTCTTCCAAGAGTGGATAAAAGACTTCATTGGCTTCAAGTCCGCTATGAAAAGTCTGTGGGATGGAGTTTTCAGGTAACTGTGTGCCACATCTACCACGAGAGCTTCAGTTTAATCCTTCATATAATCGCCAGATGCTGTCCGCCGTGCAAGTGGCAGCTATATGTCAAATTAAACACCACCTACACCATCGCAAACAGGCTTACACTGAGTAAACTAATATCGCTACTCATAAGAGACCGGTATTGCTATTAACATGACGTGTGCATATAATAAGGTACAGTATATGTCAAAAGCATCAGTGCAATATCAGACAGCACCCGTGAGAGCAGCACAGTTATACCGTTAACACATTCATTCATGTCCAGCAGTGTGTGCAGGGCCGGTGAGCGCTCCGTGCTTTGGTCACTCAGTTATGTTATAAAATCTATTTTCTTGTGATAGCGGGATTTTGTTGAGACATATTTTCCTCACGCTTGCATATATATATATATTTTGCTTGTTAGTTTGATTACTGTTGATTTCAAATGCAACAAATCTGTATAAAACTTGTAGTAACTGTGCTTATAATTGGTGGGTGCGACTAAATTTTGGCTGATGCGCCTACATTTGTAAAGTTAGGAGCACCGGTGCTACCAAGCAAAAAGGTTAATTTCGAGCCCTGTTAGGCATTTCCATTTATCATGCAATAGTGCAAAATAACTGCATAAAAATAGATGAATGGAATCATGACCATTGTGTGTGTGTTTGTGTGTCTGTGCGTGTGCGCAGTGTATGTTTGCGCACTCTCTGAGGAAGTTCTCCATGAGGGATTGGGGAATCGAGCAGAAGTGGATGTCCATCCTCTTGCCGCTGCTGCTGCTCTACAATGGTCAGACATGTTTATTTGACTTTCTGTATTATCCACATACATCACATTAAAAAACAACACTATTAACCCTAGTCAGTGTTTAAAATTTAATGGACATTTATCTGGTGACACTTCACAATAAGGTTGGATTAGTTATTGTTAATGTATTTACTAACATGAACAATACATTTACTGCAGTATTTGTTCATGTTAGTTAATGATTTTAAAGAAGGAGAATTTTCATATTTAAAGTATGGGAGCAATATTCAATAATTACATGAGCTCTCTGTTTAATCCTCATTTAATAATTGTCATATAATTTCCATAAAAGAACAACCATGTTATCTGCATTTCCACACTAATATAAAGCAGCACAACAGTTTTCAGCATCAATAATAATCTTACGCGTTTCTCGATATACAAATCATATTCTAATGATTTCTGAGTGATTGTGTGACTGAAGACTGCAGTAATGATGCTGAAAATTCAGCTTTTCCTCACTGATATAAATCACACTTTGCTATATATTCACATAGAATTGAGTTATTTCCATTTCTAAAAATATTTCAATATGTTCACTGTACTTTTGAGCAAATAAATGCAGATTCGCTCGCTACAACAGACTTATTTTACAATGTAGAGGCACAATTCTAACTTCAGCTTTGGGTAATACATTTTAATTACATTTTAGTATTATTAAAATCATTAACATTTTTGAATCTGATGATTTCTGGCATATCTGCAATTCTCTGTGGGAGTTTTTGGAGAATGTATCTTGAATGTATTTATTTATTTTTTGTTAATTTTAACCTTCACAAAAGACTTAAATTACTAATCAATTGACAATGGGGTATATGCCTGAGCATGCTAATAGGGCTTTTAATTTGCCAGTAACCTGGGTTAAGCACTTCCGGCGAATTGAATGTCAATGTTGTTGTAAATCTTTAAATAAATGTTAAAATAAATATATTAATATTTTTAAACAGTGTTAAATTAGCATGTAATTTACATGTTAAAAACTATGGTTGAAAACTGCAAATGTACTATAAGAGATTTAATTTAATTTAAAAGTTTTATTTCACACCAAACTTTGCACACAGAAAATGCACGTTTAAATACAGATATTAATTGCTCTATTAAATTTTGCATTGCTGCTGCTGGTTATAGAGCATTCGCATTGTAGGACATTACATTCCATAGGAGACTAACATTTTAATTTCTATGGGTAGTCGTGAACACATTGGTTTGTAGAGCAGGTCGTTTAATATTTGTACTGCCCTTTGTTATTTCTAGTCATTTCCCCGTACACAAATCAATCAGAAATCCTTAAAGAGTTGTAGATTAATGTGTGTGATGTTGTGTGTGCTGCAGACCCGTTCTTCCCGCTGTCGTTCCTGGTCAACAGCTGGTTTCCAGGAACTCTGGATGCATTTCTCCAGGCTGTGTTTCTGTGCGCGCTGCTGCTGTTCTGGCTGTGTGTTTACCACGGTATCAGAGTTCAGGTGCAGATCCTTCACTTCACACTAATGTTATTAATGTGTCCTGCAAAACATCTGTAATGTGTTTACATTAAAGGTGCTGTATTTATGTTTAGGCTCTTCTAAATCATAAAAGTACCATCATATGTTTGCAGGAATCATGCTAAGTGATGAAATTAGTTTATCTGAAAAACTATGCTGAAGCATACCTGTCAACATTGGTTAACTGCTTAAACACACTCCGATTTTCAGCACTCCGAGTTGCCAGATGGTGAAAAAAAAAAGTATTTAATTTCAGTTGTGAAGGCTCTGTGTTTGTGGACGCAGCTAATAATGTGACCTCTGGAAGATTCTGCAGATTCAGAGTTATGAAAATACACATGAGGTGGTTTTTAATTAGCAAATAATATAAATATAACAAAGGTAAACATGAGCGTCAGGCATGCTCTCTCCTGTAGGGGTCGTCAATCTGGCAACCTGCGTTTGTGTCACGTCTGAGAACAAATATATTGATTGTGAAAAAAGCTGATGCCTGTTTTTTTAAACATTGTGTTAATTTCAAACGTGAAAGTATGAAAATGAAATATTGTTTATTTTAATTATTATAAATTATTATTGTTTAATTTTTATAACAACACAAACATGTTTACGGTCTCTTTTGACCAATAGAATGCATTCTTGACGAATAAAAGGATCAGTGTGCATGTGTGCGTGCGCTGAATCAGACAAACAGACAGATATAAAAACAGAAATGAAAGCATGAGTGCGCAAAATAATCTAAAACACACAAACACACACACACACACACACACACACACACACACACAAATCTCCTGTTTTGAATTTAGACTGCAATACCTTATTTAACCACTAGGTCAATCCTACACCTTGACAACATGCATATGACAACAAACGACATAGTAAATCTGTAAAGATTTACTATGTCTAGAACTATGACAGCATGTTTGTCTTGATCTCCGCAGGGTGAGAGGCGGTTTCTGACTTTTTACCTGCCCAAGCTGCTGATGGTGGGCCTGCTGTGGTTATCAGCCGTAACGCTGGGAATCTGGCAGACGTAAGACTCTCTCAGTTTAATCTTGCTTGTAAATATTTCAGTATTTTGCTGTTATTTTATCACATGCGTTTAGGATCAGCAGGAGTCCTTAAAGGGCCATGAAACCCGCTTGTTTCAGCAGGGTGTTTTCACACCTCTACTTTGGAAAAAGTCAGAAAAGTGGGCGTGTCCAGCTCTGTTTAGGGGGAGTGTCGGAGAAAGAAAAGAGGCATGGTGTGGGAGTGTCTATTTGGGCGCGCTGAGTTTCAGGGTCAACACACACACACACTCTGTGACTGTGTTTACATGGACATCTGTAGTGGAATTATTTGCCAAATTATTAAATGGTGGACTTTAACAGCAGTTTGGCTCTTTCATTCAGGGAATTCAGTCATGCCCTTCGTGACAAATGACATATTTGATTTGAGGAGCTGCTCTAAGCGTGTATTTTCATGCAATCTTTGATACCGCACGGTGAATGAGAGAAAAAAAACACCTCTGCATTTCCCGGAAACTTAGATGCACTCGGCAGGTAGCGTCAGAAAGCCGCGTGTGTTATTCCGGTCACAAAATGCGGTGAAAATCCTACACAAGGTTAAAGTTTGGTTGTGGTGCTAACATGTTTACACTCGGTGCAATAGTTAGTTCGATACGAACAAACTGAATAAACAAAGAGCACTGGTCGCTCACTTACCAAATCTGTAGAGACAGGACAATCACCAGCAACTAGAGCCGCGTCTTTATGAAGAGGAGACGAACAGCGAATCCGGAACAACGTGGCGTCTCTGGCGTCTAAACACTGTGACAGTAATGAATATTAATGAAGTTACACAATAGAGCGCGCTGATTGGTTTGAACCAAGCCTTACTCATGCATTAATGCAGCACACTGTAAGACGTAATAAGACTCACTCTGGCACAGACGTCCAGTCTGCACGCTGGAATACACGCTATTATGTCATGACCGTGACGCAGCTTCAACAATTTGTTTCAAACCGGAAGTACGAATTTGCTTGAAATAACGCAAAAACAACCAATTTACACTTTTTAGTGAAATATAGGTGTCCTAATAGTGTTTTTAGCAGTGTGGGACACATATACCACTGTCAACAGCTCAACACATGTGTTCTGGTGTTTCGTGACCCTTTAATGTTTTACAGAAAAGCTTATTCTGCTCACAAAGGCTGTGTTTATTTCATTAAAACAGAGTTACAACTGTCAAATGTTACTGCAATGTGAAATGACTGTGTTCTTATTGACTGTAGGTACAATTTGAATTAATATATTGATTTAATTACATTTTAAATTAATAAAAACTAAAGTCCAGATTGTACAATGTCATTGCAATGTGAAACGACTGTGTTCTTATTGACTGTAGGTAAAATGTGAATTAATACAGTGATTTAAAGCTGTATGTTCAGCATCTACCGTTAGGCCTGTCACAATATACATTTTTTGGTGTACAGTATATTGCGATGAACGTTATTATTGTCGTTTTAGGACCGCTTTATGCCTCATATCATCACAGTGCATGTTGCGCAATCAGCTGAAATGTTGCTAGATTGGTCTTGATGATGGGCGATATGTACTGCATCACCAAAAAAGACTGAGCTCATGTCCTGGTGCTGTGTGATTATTGTGAAAGGCCTAACTGCAGTCTCACATGAGCATTCAGAAATCATGGCAGTACATAAAGATATACTGTACTGTACTGTAAGAGGTGTGTGTGTGTGTGTTTCTGTCATGTACTTGATTTGATTTGTTTTTGTTTAGGGTGAATGAGCTGCAGGATCCTACATATCAGTATAAAGTGGACATCCAGAACTTCCAGGTCGGTTTCTCAATAACTAATAAAATAGTTTTTTATTACAGCTAGTGCAGTTTAAAAACATCCACACTGGATTATGAGTTGCGGTTTCTGTCAGATGTTATGAAAACTGCTTCTGCTGTGGTGGAAAATAAAATAAAACGTGTATTTTGCATTATATTTGCAGCCTGTTTCAGACGATCTTCAAATAAAATACATCAAAATAAAGCTGAAGTCACTTTGTGTTATAGACATCAGCCTGATTATAATGAAGAAACATCATCTGTGTTCCCTAAAATCTGCTAGTAGTAGTTTACCCCTGTGTGTGTGTGTGTGTGTGTGTGTGTGTGTGTGTGTGTGTGTGTGTGTGTGTGTGTGTGTGTGTGTGTGTGTGTGTGTGTGTGTGTGTGTGTGTGTGTGTGTGTGTGTGTGTGTGTGTGTGTGTGTGTGTGTGTGTGTGTGTGTGTGTGTGTGTGTGTGTGTGTGTGTGTGTGTGTGTAGGGCATGAAGATCTTCTTCCTGCTGGTGGTGTGTGTGTATGTGCTGTATCTGGTGTTTCTGGTGGTCCGCGCCTGCTCAGAGCTGAAGAATATGCCATATTCAGGTAGTACACACAGCTGGAGCGCACACACACACACACACACACACACACACATTTGATTATTTTACTTGGAATGACTAAAACTAATTAAAGCAACAAAACATCCAAATAATCCAAAAGAGCCCGTGATGTTTCACAGTACAAGCAGTGCAGATAAACAGCCACTGAATATCTTTACAGGACAATATTACAGGGCACCTAGGTTAGCCCTTTTTCCAGATTTAATAGAAGTCTTTTGTGTCTCCAGAATGTGTCTGTAAAGTTTCAGCTCTAAACACCCATCAGATTATTGATTATACCTTTTAGAAATGTCTGATTTTTAGCTCTGAGCATCTTGAAGCTATTTTTGTGTACTGCGCCTTTAATGCTAGTCCTCCCCGCCCACTATTCCCACGTGCCTGACAGTGTGCCTCAATCTCCGCTGCCTCAGATAATAGAAAGACATGATGGAAGCAGATCTCGCGTAACGTTCAAGAGAAATACTACCGTACGAACTTTCCCAATGATTATTTAATGTATTTGTTGTGGAGTTGCAACGATGAGTCGCACACAATGTTGTTAAAGTTCACATACACACAGACAGCGTGCGCGTTTAGCTGTGCACTGTTTGTGCACGCAGATGTGTCAGGATACAGGTTAATCTCCACTGCTGTGTGGGTATCTGTTATGTTAATGTACAGAATAAACCTGATTTAACGTCCACAAACCGGGATTGAAGCTTCTTTTGACAATTTTATAATTGTTCTGATACTTGGTCCTCATTTGATGTTGATTGATGATCCGAGTGAATTGAACAGACCTTTCATTCCTGGTTGCTTTGCGCACGTCTTGTCTTGTTGATATGATAAAACGCGATACTATGGAGTCATGTTAATACGCAGCTGTCAATCAATTCGGTGGGCGGGGAAACCACTCCTACATCAAGTTGCGGTCAGCCTCAAAATGTGAGGGATTTGGATCCTATTTTAACATCTGGAAATTAAAGAAAAGAGACTTACTGTGTTTATATCACTCCAACATGACTGTGGACACACTATACCACACACAGCTCTGTCCAAACAGCGCACAGAAGAGGACTTTCAGCACAGGTGCCCTTTAAAACACTCAAATCAGCTCAACACAAAGACGTAAACACATAAACACATGAAGGAATATCTGCAAATCAAGGATAGAGATGACATGGTCTTTTCCAAACATGCAGACTGCCTATTACTGCAGACACAGAACACACACACACACACACACACACACACACACACACACACGTACGTTCACCAGCTGTTTGATGTGTGAAATCTTCATTTCATTTCTCAGATCTGAGGCTCAAGTTCCTGACGGCACTGACACTGGTGGTGCTGGTGATCAGGTGAACACACACACACACACACACACACACACACAAGCACTATGCATGCTCACACACTCACACTTACTAAACATATATAAAGTACTCACACACACACACACACGCTGACATTTATACACACATGTATGTGTATATATATGCACAGACAAATTTACACACACACTATACACTCTCTCACAGACATTCACACACACTCTCTCTCTCTCTCTCTCTCTCTCGCTCTAACACGCACACACACTTTCTCACTAATGTTTTTGAGCAGGTGTGTGTGCTTATTTCCTCCCCCTGTCTCCTCAGTGTGATCATCCTCTACCTGCGGTTCGGCTCCAAGGCGCTACAAGACAACTTCGTAGCTGAACTGTCAACTCACTACCAGAACTATATCCTTCCACAGTCTCTAGTGTCTCTGCGTACAGGAGATCATTCGGAATATATATGGCTGATTCCAGCGTTATGGACGTGACATTTGCAGAAAAAAAATGAAACGTATATACTCGGAGAATGTATATGTTAACAGAATATTGAAATATCTGTTTATATTTTTATTACCCCTTAACCATGGAGTTTAGGCATCAAAAAAATATCAGTCTATGCAGGTGTTTTATATTTAAAATGACGGCAAAATGAATGCGTTACGGACGTGACAAAAAAAAGACATGAGTTTTGTGAGTTGACATACTTGGTTAAAATTCTGTGAATAAAAATGCAGAAGCCAAAAATATTTATAACAGTCAAAAGGATAAGAGTTGGCTCTGCATGGGACATTTATAATTCATTTTATTTAGTTTTTCATTTTTGCATTAATGAGGGAAAACTATCGTTACGGACGTGACTTGTCTTCGTTACGGACGTGACTGCTCTGAAATTGACAGTTGACACATTATGAAAATCCGATAAATGCTTTCAAAACTTGACAAAAGACCTATTTGTGGATATCTGTTGGGTGTGTAAACCAATAAACTTTAACCTCTGAGACATCTGAATGGTAAGGTTGCACAATTAATCAAACTTAAATAGATATCACCTTGTTATATTTAATTCGTATTATGGCATGTGTGTTGTTAAAAGTTAACGCACGTTCGAATGTTCAAAACTCAATTCGGAAACAGTGGTGCATGCTAACATGGTGCTTTTATTCTCTGAATAATATAGAATTGATAATAAACATAATCAGCTATAATATATGTTTATCGGGCTCCTTTCCAGACAAACTTGAATTGAATCATTGCCCGACTGTTAGTGCGCAAGACCGTGTCTACGTGGCGAATATTCAAATTCTAGTTGTGTCACAGTTATGGCAATATTATATTTGACAAAGTTTATTTAAGTTTATTCTAGTTAATGTGTTAGTCGATTGAATAAATAGCTTAATTTGTCCACTCGCGCTTGCTTTCTTTTTCTCGTCGGCAGTCACTTCAGGACAGGTTGAAAAAATTTAAACAGAGGACCAGGATGAGAGAGAAAACTTTATCATGAAAGGTTTTTGAAAAATAGCCATTAATTGCAGGCATGTACGATGGATGACTATAATGTTTATATTTTTAGGCTATAGTTTATAACCGATTGTGTAAAATATTGAATGACATTACAGCTGCAGGTGCTATCGATTTACTAACAAATTAAATGCTCCTATAATGTAGTTAAAGCTTAGATCAATATCAAGATTTTATTCTTATTTTGCCGCCTGTAAAATAATTTTAATAAGCACTCAAGCACATTTGCCGGGTGCTTGAAATCTTTGAAAATGTTTTCATTTTAATGTAGGCTATAGTCTGTTTTCCAGCTTTGAAAGTGCTTAGATTTTGGATAAAGGGCTTGGAAAATTAATTGTGTCGCTATGATAATTTATCTTTATAAATAGTTATTTAATTAATAAAATAAAAAACATATTTATGCTCTGCATGAAATGAAAACTCCGCTGTGGCCTGTGCAAGTGCCTGCAGCCTGACCCACGGCGTGCGCATTTTGAGCAATGGGAAAAGACCAAATCCATGGAGGTTATTGATTTTGCGCCCTGCATGCGCGCCTCCCGTTTTGCCATTGCCCGCTTTGTGAGCTCCAGAGGAAAAGCATGTTACCTCAGTGGCGTCTTTCATTCTTCAATCAAATGAAAGCAGAGGCGGGGTTTCCTTTGAGGTGACAAAGTGTGTTGTCAAGATACGGCGAACTTTTTAATAACGGAGTAGAGACTTGTGGTCGCTCTTTTAAGTCATCCAAAGTTGTATGACTTTACAAATCTTGAATTTCATAATATTATTTTAAAAATTAAATTATGACAAAATTGACAGCAACATTAGCGCAAAATAGACCAGCTGATTCAGTTGTTACCAAAAGTGACATACCAAAGAGCACCGTGCTCCTTTTTTTCTTGACAATTTAAAATGCATTGCGGAGCGCCTCACGTCTCTGGAATGAAAAAGCGCGTTCGTTGTGATCGGCCTCTATGAGCAACACATATTTGTTAACTCGCAGAACAGTAACACGTGCAAACACGTGCTTACAGATGTATTTTGCCAAAGAAGCTAAATGAAAGAAGGATATTCTGGCCACAGTTTGACACAGGAGTTGACACAGGAGTTGACGAACCAGCGCTGATGCTGGTCGTCTGTGCAGCCTGGAGCCGCGTCATAAACTCAACTAGGTATATTGATGATTTAGTGCAGACTAACCAACAAACCATTTTTTTTTCCATTTGGAAAATAACAGTTATTATTAGTTCTTATATACATTTTTAAATAGCCTACATAGCCTAATCTACAAATCAAACAAAGCCAAATATTTTAGGATAACTTCGCACCAAACTGATGCTTTCATTTTACAACTTATAAAACATGTATGCAAATTAAAACAGTATCACATGTAAATAACAAAATTGTTATATCCTTAGCCTATATTTAACAAAAAGTATAGGTTCAAAGCCTTATGGTTCATTGTCATTATCTTTCACTATACTCAGCGCGCGCGCGCACATGAACCGCAAGTAAGACAGAGGAAATAGGCTAATAAATCACAATTAAGACATAATCTTTAAAATGACTTCTATTAAAAATGTTGACAGGTTTTGTAATATTATAACAGCGGAGCATTAATTGAATGTATTTTTTCCGTAAAGCAATCTATTTGAGCTAGCCTAATATTTTTTAATTGACGGAAGAAAAAAAAACACGATTGGACAAACAGCCTATGCCGATTCTTAAAAAGCATTCAGTCAATGTTTTGGTTTTGTAATCTTAATTTGTCATTTAAGTAAAAAGGTTTAGAGCAGGATTTATTTTATTATTTTTGTTAGTTTATTCAGTTATTCTGTGCTGCTAAAGAACACTGCAGGTGCGTGAAGATGCTCCTTCTGTATGCTGTTTGCATGTTAAAATAACTTAAATCAGTATTTTAAAATGCAATATTTAATGTGTCAGACAAAATAGGCACGTCATTTTTTTTTTTTATTAAATAATATTTTGATATTAATCTGTTAACGGTTAATATCGCTTAACGAGCGGTTGTTGATTGGCAACATGAATCGAAATCAGCATTCCTAGTTTGGCATAAATTGTATCTTAACTATTTGATCTATTATTTGACGGTCATTTACCCTATCTACAAAAGAAACAAGAAGTGCTTCAACACAAGGTGCTGCATCGCCAAAACACCAAGATTATGCGCCAAGATTATGGCATGTAAAATGTTGTTCTCTTTATTAAACATTTATTTTTGAAATGTTACTAAAATGGTTTATAGCTAACTGAAATGTTCAGTTCTTGATATAACATATGGATGTTATGTAATGTAAGTCAGTAATTGTAATGCAGCATCATAATGAACAAATATGCGCTAGTCATTGGCTTATATTAATAAGGAGTTCAAAAATGGTCACGTCCGTAACGCAAAATTGTAGTTGTTTAAAGCAAAGACCTGAGATGAGTTGGCGATCATAATTAGTATGGACATATTTTGGCTTTGTATACAAAGTTTCATTTTATTTGTTATAATATTTATTCCACAATATAAACTTTTTCATTAAATCGTTACGGACGTGACACGTGACCGAAGCTGCGTGATGTCTTAAATATGTAGCTCATAAATCAAAAGGGCAGTAATGTTATGAAAAAGTAAGGGTAATTATTTATACTACAGACTCCAATCCTTCTGGAGAATGATTACTGTTAACATAAAGCATGGAAAATGTGAGTCTTTAATCCCTTTTTCTTAAGCACGAAATGTGGTTGGATTATAATGAAATTTACCATTGGCACAATCCTCATATTTCATGGATAAATAAACCAATTTCCTTAAAAATTCAACAAGAGCACATCATTACAATAAAATATAGACCGTAATGAGCAAATTTAAATAGGTTTTGTTATTTTGGTCAAAAGTTTATTTTTTCATGATAAGGTTGACATTTTCATGGAATTGACCATATATATATAAACACAGACGATGGTTTGCCCTCCTGCCAGTAATTATTTGATCATTTACTATGTAGTATTATTATTTCTTTATAATAATTATTATTTATTATTGACATTTTTCAGTATAATAGATTTAATGACTGATTTCTTCGCCATGATGACAGCACATAATATTTGACCGGTTATTTTGTAAGACACAAGTATTCAGCTTAGCTTCAGGTCAGGTTTAGTAAAGTAAGAATACTTAAGCAGGGTAGTAATGTTGACCTGATTATTTCATTATTATTACAGGTATTCCTGCCAAACTGAAAGCATGATGTGTTGTGTTGTTTTCAGCCGTAGTTTGTTTTCCTGAATGTTGTCCTCCACCAGCCGAGTTTCTCTCCTTCTACGGTCTGCTGAACTTCTATCTCTACACACTAGCGTTCGTTTACTCGCCCTCCAAAAACGCTCTTTACGGTGAGTGGATCTGCGCACTCCTGGAGCTCTAAACACTTTGGGTTTATGACCACTCGTATGCATTGCTGAGAGTTTAATTGAATAACTTTTCTAAATATAAAATAAGCAGCTTTGATTTTTCGTTGATGACATCATCAGCCCCGCCCCTTTCAGACATTCATTTACATATTCAGTGCAACATTACAGGGTTTGCATTTTTTAAATCACTGATGTCAATCTTAATTTTCAAGAAATGATGGGAATCATTTACAAAAAATGGACCCTTATGAGTGTTGAGTGCTCCAGCGCCTCTTATATGTTTTTTTATTTATTACTTTTTTCCAGATTCACAGCTGAAGGACAATCCTGCGTTCTCCATGCTCAATGACTCTGATGATGAAGTGATTTATGGGTATGTGTGTGTGTGTGTGTGTGTGTGTGTGTGTGTGTACACCTGCACAATATATAATTTCAGCACCGATATCACAATATGCACATCTGCAATAATCACAGAATCTGCAGTGTCCTAAATGTTTACTTCAGTAAACATTTAGGACATTTGAGTGGATTAAAGTCGTTCAGGAACCACATTCGGGAGTTAAACATTAATAGAGGAAACTAACTTACTTGTTTGCTTTGTTTTAAGGCCTGTGACTGCATTTAAAATATTTGTATGTAGGGAATTATAGCATTTAATAAAAATATAAATTATATAGATTTTTTAATACAGTGCAGACCATGCCGTGTTATTTATTTATGTTTGATTGTTTGATTTGTAAGCTGCTTTGGACAAAAGTGTCTGCTATATGAGTAAATGTAATTTCTGTAGCTGAACACAGTTGCACTTTCCAGATAAACATAAACAAATGTTTGTTAAGCAGATTAATTAAATGAATCAAATGGAGTTATTCAAGTTATCTAGTCAGATTATATACAGTTGAAGTCAAATTTATTCACCCTCCTGTGAAAGTTTTATTCTTATATATGGCGAGGCACTGCACCAAAATACATCCCGCCACGGCTACATTACAGCTTCTCATTCAAAACATTAAGTCGTTGTTGTTGTTTAATAGCGGGTTATAATCGCACCAAAACTTATCAACAAAAAAATTAAAAGGTAAGTGAATTATAACAGCGCAAACTTTTCCGTAACCGTATAGTGCTGTGCGTTATCTGTTTAACCCTTTGAGGTTATGTGCTGGCTGACTGACAGGTGCGTGATGCGTGAGGCCAGCAAACACGACGACGCTTTCAGTTAGGATGAACACAGAGTGCATAATATACTTCATTTATAGATATTTTATATTTGTATTATATGATTTTTTATTTATAGACGTTATTCATAGATATTTCAGCAGCGTTTATTTAATAGCGCACAAGAAGATCTGTGCTTGATCTTGATCTCATCTAACTTGAGCCGCGTATATTATTGAGAGGGTGTGCAAGAGGTTTTGTGCACAAGCAGAGGAAATCGGCACGCAAGCACAGCCATATTGCACGTAAATGCGATCTCGACTTGTTATGCTCACGACATTTCTCCATTTGTCATTGAAATAACACCATAGGTAGCTGGTAGATTTGTGTAAAAGGTCTGCCGCCACAGCTGGAAAAAATACTAGAGGTAACACTGATATGTATATATGAGCAGTGCCATGCAAATGTCAACCTTGCCAAGAAAACATTAAGTTTTCACCAAAATATGGAAACCGTTTCTGGGTTTTTTTTTGTAAGCAAGTATTTTACAGTACTTTAGAAACACTCAAAAATGCATCTGTCAATGTTTTCAAACTTACAAACTATTCAAAATTACCAGTCACACAAGTGATAATTTCACATCCGTCACATCCATAACAGAGAGATGTCACATCCATAACGACACTTTTTCTTCATGAATGTCATTTTTGTTGATTAGAGAGCCGACTCTTCTCCTTTTGATGATCATATTTTCTTTTGGGTTGTGCAGTTTAACTCACAGAGTTTCTACAAAGTATGATGTATACTGTAAACCTGCAGACTTTTTTAGTCTCACCCATAACGCCTGTTTATTTTGCTCATTTAAAGTGCAAAAAATGTTTACAGATTGACATTTTTCTGGTCCCTTAACTCTGTGGTCAGCTGTTCTGGAAAATATAAACAAAAGTTTCAATATAATGTTGACATATACTTTTTATGTGAATTTATGTTTTGAGTTTTTACTGCAAATGTCACATCCATAACGCTGGAACTGCTCACATATATGGGTGTCCGTGGAGTCCTAAAGCTCTTAAATTTACTGAAATGTTGCATTGGAGGTAATAAATAATGAAATAATTTTAACGGGCCTTAATTTCCCTCTATGTGAAGAGACCCAATCATGCCGAACAAGTTAAATGTTTAACTCTATTAATCAATATGGTGTAATAATCTTTCTTACTTCTTAACTTTTATTTGCATGAATTTAGTTTATTAGAGTTTTGTAAATATTTTAGCTGGATTTTGCTTGTTTTGGCATTGAAAATATGTGGTTAAGAAATGACTCAATTAATGAGGCAAGGTAAAATCTTTGCCATAGGTGCAACCATGCCATTAGAAAAAATCCTTAACATTTAGCCCTGTATAAGTCTGACGTTTTCTTCATAATGGTGTCAATAAGGTCTTAAAGTCTTAAATTTGACTTGGTGAAACCTGCAGAAACCCTGGTATATATATTTCTGAAGTGATGTTTAACAGAGCAAGGACAGTATTTCCTATCGTATTTTTTCTTCTTCTGAAAGTTTTTAGTTTGCCTGGAATAAAAGCAGGTTTAGTTTTCTTTAAATCTGTTATATCGTCAATATTATTATTTTCAATTGTCTGCAGAATAAACCACTGTTGTCCCATGACTTTCCTAATTACCCTAACCTGCCTAATCAACCTAATAAATCCTTTAAATTACTATTTAAGCTAAACACTTATTTGCTATAAGAAATTAGTTATTAAAACTATTCAATTCGTTTAAAGTTAATTTGTAAAGCGCCTTTCACAATAATTCCAAAGCAGCTTTACTAAAGGTGCACATTACTGCATTACAGCCTAAATTAATATTTAATTATTCATTATATATAAACGTAGTTAACCTGCAGTTATATAGAGCATTTTGAGGGATGTAAACAAAAGCAATGGTCCCAACATATTTCCTGTTTTACATCTTTAATTTCGACAGCTTCTGAGAATCCCAACAAGAGCCACATACTGATCAGTAACGTTATGAGAGCTGCTTTAACGTGAAGTTATGATTGAATTGCCTCTTATTGCAGTTATGAAATAGTTTGATAACAAGCAGGAAACGTTCATGGGCCAATAACATCACCACATTGAAATTGTCTATAGCACAGGTGTCAAACCCAGTTCCTGGAGGGCTGCAGCTCTGCACAGTTTAGTTCCAACCCTGCTCCAACACACTGACCTGTAGGATTCAAACAAGCCCGAGTGACTCACTTAGTTTGATCAGGGTAAACTGTGCAGAGCTGCGGCCCTCCAAGAACTGAGTTTGACACCTGTGCTCTATACTGTTCCTCCAGAAAAGGGTGATGCTATTATTTTAAGCTATTTAAGTGTGTTGAAAAAATGTCTGTTCAGCATCACTTGAGAAACATTTCACAGGAGGGTTAATAATATTGACTTAAACTCTGCGTATCGCACACAAACAAAGCATTGCAGTATCAGTTGTTTTCAACATGGCACAGCGATGCTGTTGTTCAGACGCTGATGTGTCTTTGCTTTTATTCTGCAGGAGCGATTATGAAGAAATGCCTCTTCAAAACGGACGCGCCATCAAAGCCACGGCCAAATACCAGGACGAGAGCGACAGCGACTGAAGCCGTGTCTTAAACTGAGTGTAAATATACAGGCCAGAAGTCTATTTTTAAAGCTGTGGTGTTGAATGTAACTCCTGATGTGGATCTGACAGTAGGAAAGCCACAGATCTGATGGAGAAAAATCCAAACACTGTTCAGGTGAATGCGCACAACCAACATTTCAGGTTATATTCCAGCTCAAAGCACTTCATATTTGGAGGAAAGATATTATATATGTTTTGTTCTGTCACATTTACATCATGAAATGAACATATTTATAAGTGATATCTGCATGCATTACATTTAGGATTATAAATTATACATTTATTTTGTAATATAACAATGAATGCACATATTAAAACTATTTAGTTGTAGATTTTACTGCACTTTAAAAGAAATGTAATGTAACGGCTCCATAAAACGAAAAAAGCATGCACATAATTTATTTTATATATTAAATATTTTATTTTAATAAATCAAATGTATTATAAATTGAATTATAAATTACTACATAATAAGATATTATAAAAAACAGAGTAATAATAATAATAATAAATACTTGAAATAATCATAGATATATTCTCTGTATTGAGCTTTTGGGCTGAAATATAACCTTCATATCTCTTGCCAGCATTCACTTGATATTTCCTTAATATTTTCTGCCATCAGGCTAGAGTCGAGGAGGGTTTTGTGCATATATT